AGTAACCGGTTTAGAAAGAAACCTGGACCCAATCACAACTGCTTCACGGACATATTCTGTATCTAATGCACAGAACAAGGAACGGTGCCAAGATGACAAAGTGGGTGAAAACATGACACACATTGGGAACATTTTGAAGCCAAGCAAATGGGTGAGTTACATATAATATGAAATTGTCCACTATTTTAATGCCCTTCAAAACAGTTTAATCACCGTCTTTTCCAGGGGAAACATAAGCCAAGAGCCCCAGAGCCTTTTTCTCCGGGGCCTGGGGGGGAGGGAGGAGCACTAGCCTTTTGGAAGTGCCGAGAGAAACAGACTATCTGGCTGTCCACAACTGGAAATGCTCCAGCCTCTACGGACCAAAACATCTAGGAAATGGTCGAGCCTCTAAGGACCGAAACATCCGACTTGGTTGCCAGGCAGCAGCATACTTCCAGGTTACCATGAAATCACCAATGGACAGCCCTGAAGCGATGTCTCCTGCAGTAACCAAGGAAGTGTTGAAGCGCAGACACAGCCTCGGTGGCCAGTGGGCATTGGACTCCCATCGATGCCGATGCTGCAGCACAGTCACAGGTCTGCCTTTGTGAAAGCGACTGAGATGGCAATCTTGGGAAACTTACGGCGGGAAGCTGGCGGCAGTGAGGAAGGGCAGGGCCAAAACGCTCCCGAGAACAGCTCCGGGTGACCTGGAGCCCTTCCAGGCACTGGCTTAGCTTCAGAGAAGGCATTTCATGGCTTATGCGGGGAAAGCTGGAAGCTGCCCAGTGACTGTGCGGTGCAGGAAGAGGGGGTGGGGTCCTTCTAGAAACCCCGGAGCCCTGGATTCGGCCCACGGCCTTGAGGTTAGGCACCCCTGCTCTCACGCTTCCTGTCCATCATGCTTCACTTTGTACTGAAAGGAATTTTCCACATGAAAAGGAATGGCATGCAATACATTCTTCCAAGATTAAGAGAGATGCTTCTCCAAAGTAAGCATCTTTCCCTCGTGCAAATACATTTTTGCTTCAAGAAGTGCAGACAACCATTTTCACTTGCAAGGTTTGGCAGGGCTTGGAAAGCAAGAAGAGTCAGTTTCCAGCGAGAAGCAAATGGACAAAAATCATGTGTGGCAAGAAACACACACAGGAATTCGATTTCAGGAAAAGGGATGTGTGAGGAAACACTTCGGCATAAAGCACCACAGATGCGCAGCTCCCTCTTGGAGGCAGGTCCCTAGCAGATAGGTTGTTTATCTCCTAGCAGAGTGATTCTCCTTTCCCTGTTCTTTATAATTTTCTCAGTAAGTTTTTAATCAAATCCTAGAAGCTTTGACTGGTTGATTTGAAATGCCCAGTAGGTCAAGAAGAGACAATCTTAGATACTTTCAATGACTGCTTCAAAAGCTTGCCTAGCTCATCTTAATTTAAATAAAACAATGCAAAATATTCATTTGTATGTGATGCTTACAGACCAGTAAATATAATTACATCTTTAAGCGGGTCATATATATATATATACGAGAACAGTGCTGATCCCTTCTGACTCAGCTGCACGTGTTCAGAAGGCCCAGGATGGGAAAAGTTGGGTTCCATTGCAATTTTGGTGGAATGCCTGGAGAGCTTTGGAAATCGGCAGGTGGAAGTATGTAATAAATATATGAATGGGGTCCCTTTTTCTGGCTGGCCCACGGACCTCTTCCAACCCCCAGTGGGGCGCTCTCTCTCTTTTCTCTTCCCTTGGGCTCTCTTTTCCTGCCGGCCCACTGGCCACCTTCAACCCCGCGGGGCTCTCTCTTTGCTGTCTCACTGGCCACCCTCCCCTCTCCATGGGCCTCCCCTTTCCTGCTGGCCCATGGGCCAATTCTAACCCCCAGTGGGACACTTCACTGACCGCCACTTTCGGGGTCGGGAAGGAATTTTCCTCCAGGGCAGGTTGGCCAGAGGTCCTGGAGGTTTTTCACCTTCCTCTGGGCATCCAGCAAGGGTGACTTACTGGGCCATTTTTAAAATTTAAAAATACACAGAATTAAAAACCTAGCAAGATGGAATTCAGATGATAACAATATAATCCAATCGGAACACTCAATAAAGGCCATAAACGTAGAAATGGGGGTGTGCTTCTTTTTTCCTAGTATGATTCTAAGTATCGGTGGGCACACCTGACAGGGTGTCGTTCAGCAACCTCACAAGACCATTTGCAGACCAAGTCGGTGTTTGCCGAACACCAGAAAAGCAAGGACAGCTGTTCCCAGGAGAAGCAGGAGGTCGGGATAGGGCCCGCACCCCCTCCACCCACTCTGCGCCTCCCTTGGGAATACCTCATCTGCTTTAGCTCCAGCCTGGCTTTGAGGCCAGGCAAGTGAAAGGTCTGTAGGCAATGCAGCCGTCAGAGGGAACACTGGCCAGCCACTGTCACGGGCGGGGTTGTCAACTGACCAAGAGGGATTTGGGAATTCGTATTTCCCTGAGGAGCTTGTAGGCCCCCTCAGTGCTTGGATTCCAAGACAGACTTCAGATCGGCGACGGAGAACGAAGGCTGCAACCGAGCACGGGAGTTCCACATCCGCTTTTCTCGCCTTGCATACCACAGCCTGACCTGGTTCACCCTCATCTGGGATGTGATTATTCAAGGGAGGTTTGGAGGCACAATCCTTGACGAAACCTCTAGTCAGTAAGGTGGGGAGGCGGAGGAGAGCGCCACCATGGATGCGAAAGGAGGTGCTTAGAGGGATTAGGAGGCCCGTTGCAGAAGGATTCTTCGCAAGGCTAAGGCTGTTTACGAGCTGAGACTTGCCAAGAATATCAAGAGCAACAAAAAGGGCTTCTTTCAGCATGTGAATAGGAAGAGGAAGGGGAGACAAGTGGTGGGACCACTAAATAAGGAGGAAGGAGATCCGGTGACTGATATGAGGGAACAGGCACAGATGCTAAATGACTATTCTGCCTCTGTGTTCTCCCCAGAGCAGGACGGAGGAGATCCGCATAGGAGATTAGATGAGGCTGGGGACTTAGGGGCTCAGATTAGAGTCGCCCCCCAGAAGTCGAGGGGCTCCTCGGGGCATTGAACGTTACAAAGGCGTCAGGCCCTGACGGGTTACACCCGAGAGTACTTTGAGAGTTGGCAGGGGTTCTCAGCCCGCTGGCCTCCATCCTTGAGGCCTCGTGGAGAGCGGATGGCAATGCTTTCTAGTCTGCTCCCAGCCAGTTTGCTGCTGCTGCTCCTCAATGGAAAGGCTGGTTCCTGGTGTTCCCTGGGAGAGACGGATCCCTCTCCCTGGAATGAGACATGGCCTGTATCTACTGAAGAGAAACTGCACAGTTGAACTATCAAGGCAAGACTACATCTCGAATTGTAGACGCCCCAGAGAGCGTCGAAGGCCCATTACCTTTCTCATGCCCAGCCTGGCTGCCGTTTTCGGGAGGCTGCAAGGAGGACGTGCACGGCTTCTCCTGGGCCTCACTGCGCAAGCGCGCCCAATTTCCGGCATCCCTGCCTAGGGCTGATGTTGGAAACTGTGCTGGAGGGCCAGGTGATACTGAGCAAAAGGGACCAGCTCGGGGAACGGAAGCCTATTTGTCATGATTTATCAGAAGTCATACATGGCTTTGGAAGCAGGCTGTCCTCCGGCTGGAGCAGCGGGTGGGGGAACATGGCAGCTTCTGCACCTGGAAGCTGCACTCAGCATCTGGAGAGAATCCGGTGAGGGAAGTTAGCTCTAGAGAAGAGCTTCAGAATGCGTATTTGGTAAAAGATACAGAGAAAAAGTACAGAACACTTAACGTTTCCGGGAGTTCCTACAATCTTTTCATGTTGCTCTTAGACTGAGATTCATTTTTTTAATCTAAGCAGCTATTAGGAAGGAAGGGAACAAAAAATAAAAAAAAATAGAAATTAAGGGGGAGTGGGTGAGGGGAGGATGCAAGATTCATTCATGATTAAAGACCAACACTGAATTCACACTATTTAGACTGCTAATTGGTTGCTATTAAAAACAGCTCATTGTAACGGTGTGTTAGCACATTGTTCCACCATTAATAATGCATCTTTATGGAGCTAGAAGAATTATGGTACCTATAAATAGACAAAGTAACCAGCTTTCGCACCCAGGGACGAGCTAATGCAGAGACCCCGATTTGCATGGTGAAGAACGTTCTCACACACACACTGCGCTTACAAAAGAAGTGTCAAGAAGAGTCCCACCACTGGCCCCAACCCTCCCCCCCCCGCCCATGAGGAGGCTGGCAGACTGCCCAGAGACAGAGCAACTCTGCACATGGCCCAAATGCTTACTACGTCTCACTCTTTTAGGGTGGAACAACTCGCACGGAGAACGCCCGAGAAAACGTGTCACGGGGAAAGAGGGCAGGGCCAACCTGCGTGCTGACTGGGGATTCTTGCACGTGTTCACCGGACGCACATGCAGCCGTTGGCAGAGCGGCCCCTGAGGGAGCTGGTGGGAAACACATGCTGGCAACTGGTTGTGAAAACGGCCGGGGAGCCTCTCTGGCGGGTCAGGCAATGCCCCGCAGCCTCTCCCTTCCAAACCCAACTTAGCCCTGCAGAGGATGTGGCAGGCAGCTTTCTTCTCACAAATAGGTATATAAAGGTCAGTGAGGTGAGCGTCACCGGCAAAAGACGCAGAGAGCCACGTTTGGGACAACTGACCTGAATGCGGTGCTGGGGTGTGGGGGTGCCACTCCGACCTGGCTGCAATCCCAGTATGGGCAGGGACTGGAAGCTGGAATGGAAAAGCGGCCCAATACGCAGCAGACACAGCGGTCGGGAACTACCACCACTCCCATCTCCCTGCCCCCAGGTCAAGGAGTTGTGGGGCGGCTAGCATGCCAGGTCATGACTGTGGTTTGCACCCCAAGGAATTCAAAGGAGAAGCATTCGTACCTCTTTTGCCAATGCCTCTAGCATGAAGGTTTTCATTCAAGGCAGCTTCACCCAAGCCGTGAGCTCCACTGAGCCCAGGAAGACAGCGAGAGAGAGAGAGATGAAAGCAAGGCAGCTCACTTTGTGAGTTTAATTTCAGCTCCCTGTGCCATTACAGTGGCAGGACAGAGAAGGAATACATACATACAGTTAACGAAGACGTCTCGGCGTACCGCGGCTTGGTCACCTCTGGCAGCCAAACCCACAGAAAGAAAGCTTCGTGTGTTGACTAAAGGCAGTAGCTCGGAGCTGCTCCGTGATTTCCAGAAAAGGATGGCACCAGTTGCCAGTGTGTTCTTTTTGTGGCCAGCACCTAGACGGTAAGCTAAAGAGGGAATGCCTGAACCCCCGAGATGATCAGCTACTCAGAAGCTAGCCTGGAAAGCATGTCCGTTTAGAGCAGCGGGATGTTTTTGCTTTCTGTTGCCCCGCACAGTCCCCGCGCTTCTCCTCAGTACGAAGGAACTCCCCAGTGCGAGGGTCATGTCAGTGGCACAAAGGAGTCCCGAAGCCGCGAGAGGCGGCCTGGTGCGGGTCCCTTCTCAGGCATCGTGTAGGTTATCCTCCTCCAGGAGAATCTTCTCCCCGGGCTTGAAGGCTGGCATGCCCCGGTAAGGGCAGCTGGCACACCGGAAGGCGTCCCCCAGGTAACACTGTTGGGAGAGGAGAGGCCGGGTCAGCACCTACGAGGGCGGTGTTTCCGAATGCCTGCCCTTTCTTGGGGGGGGGGGGGGGGCAGTCTGCACTGAATACGAGTGAGGTTTCACCCAAGTACACCCAATACTTACAACTACAATACAATGGGAGGGGTCCCAGCCACTCCCATCCTTCCTAGCTTGGGGGGCATGTTTGGAATTTTGGAAGCGCGCACCGCAAGGGGGCTGCACACTGGATAAAATGGTTCCCACGGCTGCTCATTTCCCAGAAGGCCAGCTGGCGAGCCGGAAGGAAAGGCACCTGCCCATGAACCGCAGCACAAGGTGGAAGCACGGGCTGAGCTCCCCATCCCCAAACCCTCCTGAGGACCCGGTGAAGGAGGCGCAGGAGCACAGGCCTTGCTCCGCAGCAGACGGGCAGCCCGGTTCACCAACAAGTGAATCAGAAGCCAGGCACCACGCGGGAGACTCCAGATTTGGGGAATAAACAGGATTTGGAGTCACATTTCTTGATACTCTTTTTGCCCTGCTCACACCACACAAACAACCCTAACACAATTTCCTCTTCCATGAGTGTCACGTGTATCTATTTGGTCACATGCACAAACAGCTGAACGTCACCCGAGTGTCATCCTGCAAAATCAAGCTCGTGAGAGCCACATGCTAACGTAGCTGACGTGACAGCCACTCATCCCGGCCAGCAGCTGCGTCCTTACATTGCCACACGCAGATCTGGGCTGCAAGCTCCTCTTCTCTTGCTCCAGCTGCTCCGCCAGGCCGCAGGTGCTGCATAGGAAACAGGCTGTGTGAGTGGACTCGTTCAACAAAGCACTCACCGCGTTGCAGTTGCTGTTGTTGTGGCTTCACGGCATTTATATCCAGGTTTTCTTCCTCTTGTAAGGCACCCAGTGAGTTTCGTGGCACTAGAACTCACTGCAGCCTTCACACTGGCTCTCAGTTATACATCCGCTCAGGCAAAAAGCAGCCGGGACTCTTGGTGTGGACTCCCGTCGTTTATTTCTTCTGTGACAGCCATGGCTGCACTTCCTTCTGCCTACTATCCGAAAGAGGGCAGAACACCTGGAATTGCCGATCGCCGTGTCAAGGTCATCAATATTATGTATGCGGAAATTCCTTTTCACTGAGGTTTCTCACCGAACCCCATCTTACGCCTGATGATTTGGCAGTGCCAATTTCCTTGTGATTTACTGCCAAGTGTGTATCTGTAAGAGTGCGATCCACTCCCTTTATCGCTCCCGTCTGGATTTTCCCCTAGGCCAGTGGTGGCGAGCCCATGGCACGTGTGCCGCAGCCGGCACGCAGAGCCCCCTCTGTCGGCACGCAAGCCAACTCGTCCCAGCAGCGCCCCAGCAGCCGAGCATCGGAGAACAGCGCACTCAGGGGCCATGCGCATGCTCGGAAAGGAGTAGCAACGCCAGGCGATGCCGTCACAAGGCGCGACTCATTAGCCGTGACTGGTCCGAGCTTTCGCATGGCCGGTGGGTGCACAGCCACGATATATATACATGTATGTATGTATGTATGTATACATGTATGTATACATGTATGTATGTTTGCTAGAACCAGCTGTGAGGTGTTTTTCTAAACTAAACCCCCAGTTTTCAGGTTTGTTGTAGTGTTGGCCCTTTGCGATAAATGAATGAATGAATGAATGGGTTTTGGGTTGAAGCTTGGGCACTCGGTCTCTAAAAGGCTCGCCATCACCGCCCTAGGCCTTGTTGAACATTTTGGCTTGTGTGCAGGCGTGCATACTTGCATGCAGGTCGTAACTTATCCCAGCAATAAAGATCAGAAGAAAAGAAATCGTGTTACAGTTATTGTGTTCTTTTGCCCAACCTTACGGGTTACTGCCAAAACAAATATTTAAAATAAAAGCGACGCCTACACGCTGGAAGAACTGCACGCCGTCCAGCAGGCTTGCTTCTGGCTCTAAGCTATGCCGTACAGGGCAAACACCAGGGCCTTGTGCATGCATTAAACCACCAGGGTCTATCACAGCACAATGAAATCTACCTGGACGTGAGCCCATGTTCAAGCGCTTTTCCTCTCACCAGTTTTTACAGGCTTTCCTCTTTCCAGAATCCTTGCAGGAGGGGGCTCTGAGAGAAGACGGATCTGGCTTTTTCAAATCTTCTGCATCCAGAAGTTCATCAGAATCCAGCAGATCCTGAAAAGAAGACGAGGAAAATCACCCTGACCCTGTTGAATCGAAAATGCCCGTACTTACATACAGCAATTCTCTGCTTGGTGGAGTTTTAACCCCCTGGAAGTGTGCGGAATTGCCTAAGATACGTAGCCTCTCGGAGTGGGAGAAAAGGGAGCACAAGGGAATGTATACTTGCAATGCACAAAATAAATCCCACTCGTTTTAGAGCGGGGTTTACATGCTTACCATGTCGTCGTCATTCATATCAGCGGCCGAGAGAGTCCAGAGCTGCGCGGCAGCAGGATCCACAGCAGGCTTCTCTGAAAGCAACCAAAGCGGGTAGGATGGTAAAGAATGGAGCTCCGCTTACAGACTCGCACGCCTGCATATCACCAGGTATTGGGGGCTCCTTGTTACGCTAGAACTAGAACTCTGCACCTCTCATTCCTCTTCAGATGGGATATTACTTTTATAGGGGGTTAGAACAAATCAGACATTTGCCAGTGGGAGCACTCCATCCACCTCCCTTACCAGGTGGTGCAGATTTCTTGGCAAAGGAAAGTTTGAGCTGGTGTGAAGATCCCACTTCAAACTTGGGCTTCTTGCCTTCAATCTCAACAAAGAAGAGACTGTTGCATTGCAAACCCAGACGCTCCCGGACAGCCTGAGTTTGCTCTGAGGTTAAAGGTGTTTTCTGGAGCTGGAATTTAAGAGAGGAAAAGTTACTGGCTTGGTAGCTAAATTCTTCCTGTTATGGAGCGATTTTACAGACGAGACCAGAGACTGGTTGGAATTACCGAGAGATTTATTTACCTGCCGGCAGGGACCATGCACTCGTGAGAGTGTGGTACCGGGCACACGAATGCAGCTAATTTTATACTCTTTTACAGCTATGCAGGTGCAGGAATGACAGCGGACAATGGGGAACCCCGCTGAGTTACATTTGCACATTTTGCACCTTTCCCATGCTAAGGCAAGCAAGCGAGGTTACAAGGGCGTGACGCTGGCGGTTATGCTTGAGCGTGGTCTGCTTTGTTCTCATCCTTGCGTAGCGTGCACATTCGTTGCGGGTTCCTGTTCTAGTTCACGCGAACAGGACACCCTGATCATGCTTTCTTTTACCCATGACGAGGCATGCCCTGGCTGCATGTTTGATTATAAGGGGGGTTACCACACTTCCTGGCTGGGCACCATTACCAAGTTATCAACAAAATATATTTCCCCCTTTTACAAGTCTCACCAATCCAGACCCAAAAGAAGCCCTTTCACTGTTACTTTGGCTTGCTCTCTACAGTGTAGAGTCTACACAGTCCCACAAAGTTTTGGAATGTACTGTGGATGCCTCTCACAATTAGAAGAGACATTATGATGTCATGTTGTTGTTATATGCTACCACCATAAAATATATTGTGCACTCTTTTGGAAGACTCCTCTTTTTAAAAAGCAGTTTTAAGCTTTTGGCAGCTTTTAATTCATTTTGGTAGATGAAATGAATGCCCTTTTTTGAACACGATTTTAGAAGGCTTAAGGCCTGCACACGTACCTCCTTGATTTCCACCAGTCCGGAAAGTGTCAAGGCAGTGGGCAGCTTGCTTAGTGACTTGAGTCTGCTGTTGTTTCCTGGAAAAAATGTGACGGAGAAATGCCATCTCCAAAATTAAGAACAGAATGGGCTGCTCAAAACATGACAATCCCACCAAAGGGTTTTTTTCTCTGCTTAGCTACTTTCTGAATCATTTCTCCTGCAGCTAGAAAGGAATGCAATGGATGAATAAATTCAGGGGACTCGGGCACTCACTGCTCTAAGTCCACTATTTCCAGCAAGCCCCCAGAGAGTGACTCTCAGAAGTCCTCTGGCTCATCATGAGGGATTTCAACGACAGAGCACTGCTTCGTAGCCATTTCCTTTGCTCCTGTTTCATCTTCATTCTCACAAGAAAGTAGCTGTTAGGTCAACTACCACATAGCTTTAAGCCACTGCATCTGCTTCCCAAACACTGTATTTCACGCGAGTGTAACAGCGATGTCAGGAAATGTGAGGAGCTTCACCACCCTTCACAGAGGGCACTGTGTGCGAGGCCACTGGTGCGGCATTAGCATCACCTTTGTGCCCAGCAGCTGTAGAATTTTAAGGGGACTGTTTGAATGAGTGTCTTAGCCCAAACTAAGCTTCACTGATTTTTTCTGCCGACTCCGCTCAGCGGCTATGCCCGGCCCCCTGTAGTTCTACTGCAGGCCCCTTAAAAGCAGCTTCAGCTCACAAGCCCTCGTGCATGATCGCTTAGGTCCAACGAAGCCCCTGACCCTAATTCATTTCTGACACTCCACGGTCCTTACCTGTTTCTGCGGTCACCACTTCCCTCAGAAGGACACGCCCCCCTGGCTTGACGATCCGGGCCATTTCAGCCAGGACTTCAGCGCTGTGCACGCCTGAGCTGCCAGGTACCAGTCCAGACAGAACTGCATCAAAGCTGGACTCCTTATAGGATGCTGAAGAGACAGAATTAATCCACATTGTGATCTCAGGTGTGTGCACTGTATGTGACGAGAGCACACATTGGGATGGCGAGGAGCGAGGCTAGGCTGGTTTACGGGAAATGCTGCAAAGGGACGAGCCTTCCCTGCTTTGCTGGAGGGCACTGTGAGGTAGCAAGAGGGAGGCCGAGGAGCAAAACTGCTGGCCCAGCATATCTCCTCTGCCAACCAGGGGGCCCAAGAGCTCTGCACTGCTGTGCCTCAGCCGTCCCCGCGCTCTCTCACATACCCGGGGCAGCGCCTTGCAAAATCGATACCGCCAAGATAAAGAAGTCTTGTATGTCTGTAGCCAAATGTTTGTTTTTTCCCCGATGTACGCCCTGCCTTTTTCCTACAAAGGGCTCAAGGCAGCTTACATCATTCTCCTCCTCCAGCTTATCCCCACAACAACCCTGTGAGGTAGGCTGGACTGAGAGTCTGTGACTGGCCCAGAGTCACCCAGTGGGCTCCATGGCCGAGCGGGGACTCGAACCCGGATCGCCTGAGTCCCAGTTCCACGCTCTTAACCATGATACCACCCTGGCTCTCCAGTGTGTTCTATCCATACTCTACCTCCAAAACAATTGTTTGCCCCAAACAGAACAGACACGATCATATGGAGGTCCATTACCCAACCTCCAGCCAGTGTTGTAACCACAATTCCCATCACCACCCAACCGGTATGGCTAGCAATATGGGAGTTGTGGTCACATACCCCCGGGGGGTGTAAGGGTGGGAAAGGCTGATATCTCGCAAGCTCTCCGCTCTCCTGGTCAGTCGTTTTCTTGGGCTGCTACTGATAAAATGAGGAACCCTGTTGTTCTTCGGGTAGGTGGGATGCTGGATGCTGTCCAACTCACATCTGCTTGGCTATCTTAACCCAAGCACAGAAGCGGATCCTTCTGACGACTTACACTGTAGCAACTGGTTGATGTTTTCTACAGACACGTGACCGTCAGCTCCAACGGCCGCCTGAAGGCTTTGCACAAGGCTCTGGATGGCCTCGGGGGAAGAATGGCTATCCCAGCCCACGACCACCCGCTGGCCCTTGGAGACTCCGCACTCCGCCATGTCTGAAGTGCAGCTGCTGCTAAAAGAGAAAGAAACTGGTGATGACGACAAAATACATTTGCAAGAAGCCAAGTGTGGAGAAAATAGTTTTAAGGTCTGGAACAGGCAACCTGACAGTTCCTAGAGGTTTTGGACTACGATGCCCATCAATTCCTGACCATTCACCACACTGATGAATGGTCTGCAGTCCAGAATGCATGGAGCTGCAGTCCAAACCACTGGAGGCACTAGCTGGCTAGCCCTGATCCAAATCAGTGCGATTCCTTCTGCCGGCCTCGGCCTCGCAGCTGCTAATATGAGTAGAATGCTGCCAATCAGCATCTTCAAACTTATTCGTTAAGATTCCTAAACAAAGCCGGCTTAAGGGTTAGAGGACGTCACCCCTGGGATATCCACTCAGAAAGCTTATTTGCAGCTGCAAAATGAATGCAGTTATGTACATTCGGTATACTCTGTGTGGAGCACGGAGCTGGAGCAGTTCTCTGTTCTTATCTCAGCTGCGCACATTTGAAAACAGATCTGTGGAGGACTCCAGCCTTCCCTAAACTGCAAAGTTAAGAAGCCCCTCAAGCTGGATGCAGCCAATGAGGCACACTTAAGAAGCCAACAAGAAGTCTGCAATCAGGGATAAAAAGCTGCGGAGCGAGTAAATGAAGGGGGGACTCCAGCTGCACCAAGGCAGCTGTCATCTATGCAAAGACTCAAGTCTTAGCTATAACCTGCCATTGTCGTTGGCATCTTATTTTACTAAAGCTTTTCTATACCGTTTGACTACAACAGTCTTGGGACAGTCTTACAATAAAAACAGATTAAAATAAAGCACAACATCCAATACATTCAGTAAATAAAACCCACATTAAAATCTAATCCACCTTAAAATAATGGGTGAATAAAAAGGTTTTAGCCTGGCGCCAAAAGGAATACAGAGTCAGTGCCAGACAAACCTCTCTGGGGAATGATCTTTATAATTATAATATTTATAATTTAAACAACAGCGATCGTAAGACTTTTTAATTGCTCTCTCAACCTCCATCTGTGGCCAGCATCAAACTTAAGTCTCCCTGCATATGCTATGACGACTAGAAACTGTGCTGCCTAACTTGAAGAGTAAAGCCCATTTAGATGCAATGCACTCCCCAGAGAGGTCCGCCTGGCGCCGTCGTTATTTGTTTTTCGGCGCCACGTTAAGACCTTTCTATTTAAAACTTATTGTGATTGTTAAATTACTGAATTAATTAGGATTTTAAAAATTTTAGCCAGAATGCACTGGGGGTTTTTAAACGATTTTTTTAAATTGTTATATTATCATTATCTATGTATGCATTTATGTATTCTTTGTGAGCCGCCCCGAGGCTTTGTTGCGATGGGGGCGGCACAGAAATGTTTAAAATAATAAATAGATAGATAGATAGATACAGGGGGAGGAGGACAGGTTCTTTCAAAAGAGCAGAGCCATGCCCTTGATCAGGACTGCGAAAGGAGCAAAGAGCGGAGGTGCACAGGCAGGTGTGCACGTAACAATCCAAGGACTGCAGAACTGAGAGAGCGCATGGAGCATGTGCTCTGCATACTGAAGGCCCTAAATCGAGTCCCCAGGATCTCCAGAAAGGTAAGCCGCCCCGAGGCTTCGGCAAGGGGCGGCACAGAAATGTTATAATAATAATAAAAAATAATAATAATTCTGCCTGCAACCCTGCAGAACTGCTGTTGCTGCCAGTCAGTGCTGGCAATACTGGGTTAGATGGAGCATGGCTCTAGCTCAGCATAAGACAGCTTCTGATTTTCCGAAGGACCCGTGAAAGCATTTTTGTTATGACTTCAGTGGGTCGGAAATCACCGGGAAGCTAATTTGATCCAAAGGCAGGCTGTAAGTTGGCATGATACGCAACTTGTGGCCCACATTTCTGCCTTTATTAGGAAACAAAACACACACACGGATCCCTAGTTTTAACTCCCACTTTTCTTTCCCAGGATAATTACTACTTAGCTTAGCCAATTCCACCCTGGTGATGCCGGGAGTTGGAGCCAACTGGTTAAGGCTGCTTCCAGAACCAAAACATTTAATTAAAAAGGCCATTTGTTTAATTAAAAAGGGCGGGATACAAAATAAAGAAATATGTGGGGCTTGTGTCGGTGCTTTTTCTTCACGCAGGCTTAGTGTATAGAACATATTTTCATTGTTCAAATGTTTTTATGTCAATGTAAAATTTAAAAGTAGTGTTTTCACACTGTTTTTATTGTGTTTGTATTTCTTATTTTTATTGTCTCGGATATTAACAGCCCACTGAGCTTTGGCCATTAGGTGGCACAGAAATAACAGGGACAAATGAACAACAGTGACAAGACTCCTGAAGGGCACCTGGTTGGGGGAGGCTGAGCTATGCCATGATTATGCTGAAGAAAGCTGGCATTAAATCCGGTGACTCATGCTAAAAAGAAATCAAAACCGAGAAATTGCAACTGCGAAAGCATCATTTTTCCAGATTTTGAGGAAGGCTGCATTAATGGATCATGGGAACTCCCGGTTCCCCTTCACTCAGCACTGGCTGGGCTTCATCTGGTGTCCTGCGTCCAGTTTTCCGGGCACCAGAGTCTGGGAAAGACGCAGGCAAGCTGCAAAGGATGCAGAGCAGGGCAGCCAGGACGGTTCGGGGGCTGGAAGCAAAGCCCCGGAGGGGATGCAAGGAGCCGGTCACGTCCAGACCCTATTCTGCGATGGCCCAAGGGGAGCCCCACAACAGAGGGGGGGGGCCACGTGCCCGGCCAGGCGGTCCCCCCCCCCCCGCATTGGCACCCCTTCTTTGGGCCCACCTGGGCTTCCTCCTTGCTGTCCCCGAAGCTGCCTGCCCGGGGCTTTCTCTGCCCCCTCCCCCAGTCCATGCATCGCTTTGCCAGATGGGGGGCCCTTGGGAGGCGGGCTGCAAACGCGAGCCCCCTTTTCTTGCTCGCTCTGGGCCTGGGGGGGCGGTGAGCCCCGGTTCTTCAGGCCGCACAGGCCCACCCTTCCCGGCGAAGGGCGCAGCAAGGCCGCGCGCTCCAGGCGAGCCGCCCCGACGGCGCGGGGACTGGCGCCCGGCGAGCCTCTTGCCTGAGGCGGACGCCCCCGCCCCTGCCCCTGCCCCGCGCCCCTAAACCCGGCTTTAAGCCGGGCTTTGAGAGCCCCCCGGGGTCGTGGGGAGATAGACGCCAACCGCCGCCACCCCAGCCCTCGCAAGCGAACCGCTCCCCGCCCCACCCGCGCAGGCCTACCTTTCCAGCCCGCGCCGCCGCCGCCGCCGCCGCCGCCACTTGGCCTCGCCGCCTCAGGCCGCGCCTTCCCCGCCAGGGCACGACCTCCCGGCGCCCGCCCAGCCGCCGCAGCCCGGGCTGTTCCCCTTGCCCGCTCCAAAGATGGCGGCGCGGAGCTCAAGACGAGCTATGGAAACCCACGGGTAGGGCGACGTTTGAAAGAGTCTTGGTCTTGCGGGAGGTACGGTGGCGCCGCTCTATCCCTGCCCACGTCTATGGTAAAGCTCTCCCTCGGCTTCGTTCGAAATTGGAGTGGGAAACGAGTCTCAAACGCAAAGGGCGGTTTTCGCTCTCTTGCAGCGAAAAGTGTGCCGGTTTCGGGACACCCCAAGGCGCAATCCCATGCAAATTTAGACGGAGAAAAGGCCTGCATGCCTCATCCAGTTTAATAATATTAGAACATTATATCCCAAGGCTGTTCTCCTGGCCATTTTACTCTCACGACAACAACAATCCTGTGAGGTGGGTTAGGCTGAGAGTCATCCATGGGGACTGCACCCTGGATCTCCCAGGTCTCGGTCCAGTGGCATCATCGTGGCTGCACATTGGCTCTTGGCACAAGAGTGCAAGAGATTTGTCTGTGTGGTTTGACAAAGCTGTTTGGTTTTGAATCACGCTACACATGGTCAGCAGCACTCTTCAAGGGGCTGTTTATGCATTGCCAAATAAATAAATAAAGAGACACCAGTTTGGCTAAACGCCTGCATAGAAACATAGAAATAGACCGAGTCAGAAGGGGTTCCCCGGGCCATCTAGTCTGACCCCCAGCTCCAGCCGGCTCCACTCACGACATGCCCACCATGTGGACGTCCAGCCTATCTTTGAACACCCGCACCGATGGGGCCTCAACCACCTCCCGTGGAAGCCCATTCCACGCCCTCGGGGTCCTGATGTCAGGAAGTGCTTCCTGGCATCCAAGTGGAACCTTGGCTCCCTGAGCTTTGCTCTGTTGGCATACACGCCTTTGTATGTGTAGATGCAAATACAAAACTTGTAGCAATTCAAATAGGCCTGCATCTTGCACCCTCATGGGGAACACCGTGGCCAAGTGACCACTGTGCATGGTCGGGCCACTGCCTAGGTGGACATGGCAGATGGGCAGGCCTCTCCTCTCCTTCCTTCCCTGGGGGTCTTCAGCTTTACACAATCCTGGGAAGGGACAGCTCTCCCCTGCCAGCTAAGAGCACGAGATAAGTCCTGCCGGGTCAGACTGGGGTCCATCTAGCCAACATCCCATTCTCACAGTGGCCAACCAGGGGTGCAATAGCCACATCCCCTGCATATAGTGTACAGAGCCACCCTTCTCCTCTAGGGAGCACATCTCCATGAGGACTAGTACCCATGGACAGCCTTCTTCTGCATGAAACCGCCCAGTGCCCTTACATTCCATGAACCGTACTGGAAGAATGGTTAGGAGCTTGTTAAGGAGCACGAGATAGCTGGACATGCTTTCTCAGTGTCCAAAAGCCAGGGCAGTTTCTTGAAGCCATGCCAAGCCTTTATGGCTTTCAGCTTGTAGGGAAGAGCAGCAGAGATGACGACCTTGAAGCTGACTTGCCCAATCCCTTCCGCAGATAAGAGCTGTTTTTGCTGTGAGAACAGAGGTCGTTCTGCTCCCAAGAAAGGGGGTGGGCTCTGAGTCTGTGCTCTCTGCTACAGCGGGGAGAGGAACCTTACAGGGACACTGGATCAGGCGAAGGGACATCTCCTCCATCATCCTGTGCACACAATGGCCATGACCTTCCCATGAGAAACCCATAAGGGCAGAAATGTCATTCAGCAACTGGTGCGCATAGAATCCTGGAGGTAAAGAGATCCCTGAGGATTAGAGGCCATGGATAGCCTTCTCCTCCGTGCATTTGCCCAAGCCCCTTTTAAAGCCATCCATATGGCTGGCCATCACTACATCTTGCAGAAGTGAATTCTACAGTTTAACTCTGCCTTGTGCGGAACAAACCCTTCTGTTCATGCGTCCTGAATCTCTCACCCATCCGCTTCACCCGAGGACCCCAGACTCTCAGAAACAGAGGACTGTCCTCTCGCAATAGGACGCGAGCCCCCCGCCCCCCCACGACACCAGCTCAGCGGCAGCGCTTCATTGCAACTCCCACGGAAACCCTCACCGCCCTCGACCGTCTGCAGCAGCAGAGAGCGTCCGCGAAAGCTTCGGCCAGGAGGCCTTTGCTCGCTCCTCGAGGCGCGCAGAGCGCCCAGAGGCTTCCGCGACCCCGCCGAGGACCCTCCCGCACCTTCTCCCGGCCGCCGCCCGAGCTTCAGGCGGGCGCGCCGCAGAGGGCGCCTCTGCATGCGTATCTCTATGCTGCCGCTCCGCTTCGCCCGTCTCAAAGATGGCGGCCGCCTCCCGGCTGCCCGGCGCCCCGTCGTCGCCGGCCGCTCCCGCAGCCCTCGTGAAAGATGGCGGCGGCCGCGGCGCGCCTGGGACGGGCGGGCTGGGCGCTGCGGCGCGGCCCGGCGGGTGAGGCGCTGGGCTGGCGGGGGAGCCTG